TGTGTGCGCTCAGGCTACGGACAGACCGGTCCTCACGCTCAGAGTCCAGGGTACGACTCCATCGCCTCGGCAGCGTCAGGGATGATGCACATCACCGGGCCCGAGGTCAGACTCAGACCGCACATGCTCAGTAACGTCCTGATCCCGCTGAACAGGTTTCCATGTCTTTACAAATGAAACACTTGTGATGTTAACGTCAGACTCTGACCTGATGTCTTTGCGACGCGGCTGTAGAAATATCAGCACACAGGAAGTGCAGAAAGTGAACTTCAAATTAAAATGTTAAACATCTTCTTGGCTCGTCATCGTAGCTGAGAATGTAGGCCTCATTAAGCTTCAGCAGCTTCAGCGTCATGAACGACGTGTCCACGAATCCCTGACGTGGATGTTACTGTCCGGTCTGAGCAGGAAACCCAGTTTGTTCTGGCTTTCAAAATAAAACACATGAAACTTATGTTCATGAACATGAAGAATGTTGAAGCAGTTTAGAGTTTATCTTTGATTTACTGAATGAAACTTTATGTCCTCACAGTTACGTTTTGACTCGCCCCTCATCTCTGCGTTTTCCTTCCAAGCAGCCAGAACTTGTTGTTTAAGTGGCTCCAGCTTCCTGAAGCTCTTTCAGAGTTCTTCTGTAAACATTGGCTGCTTCATGTCTCCCCTTCAGTCCAGTCCTTGTACCCGAGCGTTTTCCTCGAGGTTTAAATGTGACCTTTAGGCTCTTTATTCCCACACATCACCTGTTTCTTCAGCAGAGTGAGTCTGACAGTCCTGTGCTAAAGAAAGAGGCACGGAGAGAAACAAACATGCTGACACCAAATGTTCAGCTTCAGGCTTGTTAAACTCAGCGTTCGTTGTTGGCAGTGTGGAGGGTCAGCGCTGACGTGGATGTTCATGTTTGCAGAGTTCTGGCCGGGCCCTTCGCCTCCATGATCCTCGGAGACCTCGGAGCCCAGGTGATCAAAGTGGAGAGACCAGGTGAGCGTTGGGCCTCATTCCTGCCCCGCTGTGAGCAAAGCATTGTGGGATAGTGTTTGTGTGTTCTGTCAAACAGGTGCAGGTGACGACACCAGAGCCTGGGGTCCTCCGTTTGTGGCGTCAGAGAGCGCCTACTTCCTCAGCGTCAACCGGAACAAGAAGGTTGGTGTGTGAGC